CATCCGCCCTACGCCCACCCGCGTCGCTTTTCGCCCGCCCGTATGGCTTTTCGCCCGGTTCTCTTTTCGCTGCCCGCCTCGGTCTGGGCCTCGCCCCTGCACCGGTTCCCCTACCCGGTTCCACCCCTCCACGGGTTTCCCTTGGGCCCGCGACCGAGCATGTCGGCAGAACCTTTACAACTTTTAGTAGTATAGAGAAGAGAAGAGAAGAGATACATGTACTTTTCCATACAAATTTATCACATCGAAGATTGGGAGAAAAGAGGGGTAAGTGTCAGAGACTCGAGAGCTCCCCTCGCCGTGTGGCATACACACATACACGAAAAGAGCAGCGGAGGTGATAGAGCGGAAGTGGAAATGGAGGAGAGCTATGGAGCAGAGTTGATGATGGAGATGAATGGGGGTGGGCACAGGTAGAGGCTGAGCAGCAGAGAAGGTGCAGGAGGTGGAGATGGCAGAAGGGAACATAATGGTTGAGATAGAGGGGACAGGTGGAGGAGGAGGTGGAGGGGGAGCCAGGGAGGAGGCAAAGGACAAGAAGCCGGTAAACGTAGATGGGAGTAGACAAAAGAGGGAGGACGTCCATCAGGGAGAACACGAAGCAGGCAGCAAACATTAGGGTCAAAAAAAAAGTTGCAGGCCGACAACCCCCTGACCGATAGGAGCCAATGGGCTGCACTGTCACCGACAGGTAGGATGCCACTGACCGGCAGTGGGCCAACTCTGCTCCACACTTGAAAGTTAAAACGCTTTAAAGTAGCAACGATCTTCGATCCAAACATTTCTTTATTTTGATGTTACCGATGCCCCCCACCAACACTGATGATTATTGTTAGAACAATCATCAATAAGCATCATCGTCATCATTATCATCATCATCATCATCATCATCACTTCCACCACCACCACATTCCTGGAAATTTCCAAGGTCCCACTTCCAGAATTCCTTGTCCCCATGCCCTCCCTCTCTCCCTCCGTTTTCCCCTCTCCCCACCCTAGCGCAAGGAACATGAGTATGGACGAAGCACAAAAATCCAGAATGCAAAATCGCACTGAAGTCCAAGTATTCAAAGCCAAAGCAGATAGCACATTAATGCTGATTTAGGCTTCCATCCTAAGTGCAGCTGGTACGCCGGTACTACTATGTATAGCATTGTTGTACAGGCTGGCGATGAGAGGTAACTGCTCATCCCAGTCATCCTGGCTGGGCTTGATGTAGTGCCTCAGCAAGTGCTGTACAACTCTATTCATTTGTTCGGCCTGTCCATTGGCTTCGGGATGATTCCCTGAAGTCATCTGAAGTTGACTGCCCATCTGTTCTGCAGTCTTCTTCCACAGCTCACTCGTGAATCGGACGTCTCGGTCACTAATGATGGTCTTTGGTAAACCAAAGTCCYTYACCCAGTTGTCCTTGAACAACTTGATGACGTATTCCGTCCTGGCTGTCTCTGGCATTGGTACTAGTCTAGCGTACTTGGTGAATCKGTCAATGATGACGAAAATGTGCCTCTTACCACTCTTGCTGGTCACAATAGTGTCCATGAAATCCATGGAATCCTGGACCATCAGGAATAGGTAAAGGCTTCAATAACCCAAGCGGTGCTTGAGTTCGCGGCTTGTCCCGCTGACAGACCTGACAAGTCTCAACATACTTCTTCGCGTCATCTAACATTTTGGGCCACCAAAATCGTTGTACTAAGTTAGCACTCGTCTTCTTGTAGCCAAAGTGCCCAGTTGCGTCATGACATTCTCCTAAAAATAAACTACGCAACTGTTCACTAGATGGAA